GGAAATGTCCTGGAATGGGACCTGTGTGGGTCCGGGCCTGGAGAATGTTTGGGGGGAGAGGGTCAGAGCAGCGGGGCAGCGGAGTTGTGGGGTGGCCCTGGGTCACGCTCCCTCCCGTGGTGCGCTGTGCCTCATCCCGAGGATGACTTTCCCACCGTGCGAGGCACCCACGTGTCTGCGGTGGTTCTCCACAGCCCCAAACTATTCCTTGAGGGTTCCCCACCCCGCTCACCTTCATCTCCAAGCCTTGGGGTGGGGGACAGGCATGCCCCCGATAGAGCAGCACCCCTGAGCATGACTCCCTTCGCCGGAGGTGCTAGTGGCAACCAGGAGGTGAGGTGCTGGGGCAGGGACCTCACCCCAGGCGGGACCTTGGTTGTCTGGAGGGCTCCAGAAGACCCTTCCACCCCCGAGCACCACGAGGGATGGAGTGGGAGGGTGTTTTCCTGAGCAGAGAGGATCCCTTCAGCTCCACGGAGTCCCTGGGAGGGTGGCACCCAGCCCTTCTGATGTCTGGTGCCCCAGGAGGGGGGAAATTTCTGCTAATTCTGCAGAAGCTGAGGAGCAGTTCCATGTTGCGTGTGTGTCAGCAGGCAGACAGCATGTATGGGCTCGGGGATTGAGCGGCAGTGCGGATGGGAGACTGGGGAGCCTCTGCCCCCTTCCCCAGCTGGCAGCCGGGGGTTGTGCGGAGGAGAGGGGCTTCTGACTGGTGTGGGACACAAAGGTGGAGGAGGAAAGCAAGGGGAGAGGCTGCTGGTGCCATGTGGGTGCCCCTCGGGTCGGCTGGAGAGCCTTACAGCCTCCCCAGGACCATCAGAAGGGTTGGGAGGAACCTGCTGCCGGGGCTGGAGGTGAAACACATGTTGCCTTGCCCTCCCCATCCTCTTCCTCTCCTCTTCCAGATCTCCGCCTGCAGCTGCTGGACGTGAAGAACAACCCCTACCTGATCAAGGCTCTCTACGGCCTCCTGATGCTGCTGCCCCAGAGCAGCGCCTTCCAGCTCCTCTCCCACCGCCTGCAGTGCGTGCCCAACCCCGAGCTCATGCAGACCGCGTAAGTGCCGCCGGGACCGAGCTCCACCCGGGCTCTTCCGGACCCCCGGCACCGGGGCC